CTGAAAAACGGCATCACTGCTAATGCATTTGCTCCCTATCTTTGCATGGAGAGTTTGTCTTGATGTAGACGTGGACTCTCAGGGTAGGGCGGGATATCCTCTCCATTTTGGCCTCAACTTGAGAGCTTTTTTTGAGCTTGGGAGTTGATTGCAGAGAAAACCAGTGGTACCATCGTGTTACTCACGATCATTTACATAAGAATCAACAGTCAAATCGCAAGTTCCTCACACATGCAACATCTCCATTGCCAATTGTTGAAATTGAAAGACAGAGTATTAGGCAAATAAGACAAAAGGGATATGGAGGGATCCTATTGGTGGAAATGGGTGGTTGCAATGGACAAAGGAGGTAGGCAGTAGACTAAACTGTCGGCAACCACCGAGGGACCCTATAATTAGTCCACCATTTTCTCCCTTAGTCTACAGGAACCACCCATCGCAACCAATAGGATCGCTCCATCCCTGTGTCTTCTTTGTCTATAGCTTTGTCTATCAATTTCAATAATCAGCCTGCTGGTCATCGTGTACCCTAAAAATTTAAACTTCGATGTGTCGCGTACACTGAAAGGACTATTTGTGGTGTATCTTTAGTCGTTCTTTGAACAATTCCTTTTTTTAAGGATAAGGAAGCCTTGTGAGGTTTTTTATTGTAATTGAGGAGGTCTCAAAATCATCATTGAAACTATCATTAAAAGTATGTATTTCACGAGCTTTGAGTAAAATTCAACAGAATAACTGCGAGGATCTTTGAGGGATTGCTTGCTATTCATTCTTTAGAAAATCCTTTTCTAACTGAGGTCCCGCACGGTTTTTAAGGGTGGTTCAAGGAAGCTTTTTGCAAAACTCGTATGATTCAGCAGTGGAACCACGAAAGTGGACCCTCGCTAGAGAAAAAAATTATTTGTCACTGCAAAAATGTAAAGCACAAAAGAAGAATTCAAATATTTTGACAAACTTCAAAACCTGTGGAATACTTCCTTTCGTTCTCTTTATTTTTTGGCAGTGACAAATCATTTTGAATCATTGAATTTTGTATCATTTTCAAAAATAAACTGTTGAATTTTACTCAAGTGTCGAATGAACTGCCCTTGAAAGGATGAAGCGCGTTTAATAAACGTCATTTCATCACAACGAATCCAAATAAGGTCTCTAGAAAGATAGGAGCTAATCAGGAACAACCATGCAAATGATTCACACTTAAAATGTTACTTTAGTGGTAAAATTTATCATGATCCCAGTTTCAGCAATAAACCACTAGACATATCATGAAATATACACATTTTTTGGTTTTTTTAAAATTTTCTATTAGTAAAATTTTTTTAATTTTTTTAATAGTAACATTTTAATTAGTTTTCAATTTATCTACATACATAAAAACCGCTTTCACAGCGCTCTCTGGTGCTCCGTAGCAGCTAGCCGCGAAAATATCTTATCCTCCCAAAGCCCTTTAAGGATTTGGCACTCCCTCATTTCCTTTAAAAGCCCCTGCCGCCAACATTTCACTCGGCGTCTCCTTCGTCTCCTCCCAGGAGGAACCATATCAACTTGCAATTTTCATTTTTAATTTTATTCAGTAAATATTTCAGTCTAGAGTCTTTAATTTTTTAAGATAAAGATCTTTCGAGCCACTGCACATATTTTCTCATTCAAGTTTCGAAACGCCCTTCCGCAAGAAAAACCATAATCAACTTAGGCCAAATCAGGCATTAAAATCTAGTCATACGTTAGGCAAATAACTAGAGTTTTGGTTCACAAACGTATTTTTTCTTTTCTGAAGTAATTTCTTTTCGATCATTTTAGGAGGAAAGTTGTAAAATGCCGTTACAATTAAAAGTTGTAATTAGTTTCATGCTCAATGTGCCTCAGGTACCTATATCGACTCTGATTATTTTTCGTGCTGGAAATGCGAATTAACGTTGACAAAAAACGCTATTTTCTAACTTTTAAGTTGAATTTGGAGGGTTTTGTTGCTTTTATCGTATTCTACTTAAAATTTTAATGGGTGGGCAATGAAAATGTATGGGAGCGCCTAGTTTTGTACCTTGACTAGTGTTCCACTATTTGCTTCTAATATATACGTAGCTGCTGAAAATTTAACAAATATTTTTCTTTAAATTGAGTTTCTTGAAGTTTTCACAAAAAGGTTGGTTAAAATAAACTTACTTTTAAAAGATGCAAGCAAGTGCGAAAGGTGCGGAAGTTGACGAACGAAAGTGGACTTTCGAGATACCAAGAGTCAAATTTTAAATTGTAATCCTATGAAAATTCGAAGCATCCGACAGGTGCGGTGAAGCTTTAAAATATCTTACATGTTTATCCTGTTTTCCTTGCTAATAGAAGAATCAAATATAGGTACATGTGTTTCTCGTGTGCGAAACTGAAGTATGAAGTACGAACCAACTTTGAGCCATAAATCACAAAATATTAAAAAAAGAGTGAGATTCCATCGTTGCTTCAAATGTATTACGTATCTGCGCAGCTTGATATATTATTATTGTCATCAGTCTTTTTGAAACGGCTGTGGCACACTAAAGGCAAGCAGTGTGAAGTCCCAAAATTTTTTAGGTCTGATTTTTCATGTATTTAGTTATTTATCTCTATTACTTTTATCATTGCCGGATTTACCTACTTGCCGCCCATGGGCCACCTGTATTTTTCCGCCCCCTTCTCATCCGTTTTGAAACATCAATAGATCGTATCCGACAGTGGTTCGATGTATTGTTTGGTTCAAAACAATAGAGCATAACCTCAAACAAAAATTTTAGGATTTAATTTGGAAAAGCTGAAAATGAGAAAATTCCTAACAATTTCACTTTTCATTGCCATTTGGTACACGAGGAAATAAAAATTCGATCACATAAGACCCGTTACCTCAGATTTCTAAATTGACTTTTGAGGCTGTGGTTACAGATTGAATCAATCGATATCAATATAATCTCACCTGTGTGATCTGTCAAATACGATCTATAAAAACCAACAAGTGGACGTGCCGGTGGGGGAGGGGTGTATGAGACGCGTTTAGGTACTCGTGTTGGGCACATTTTTTGTGAAAGCCCTGTCAACACTGACAAAATTTCAGTTCCGTAAAACCATCTCTGTTTGGACAAGGCCTTTCATTTAAAAAAGAACGAACGAACAAATTATGAAAGAGCAAACTTAAATAAGGTTAATAATTTTACCTTCCGCCGCCGCGCCGACCGCACTGTGTTGACGCAATGCGTGAAGTATTCATGCAGTCTTGCAGGCGCTATGCGTTTCACGCCGACCGCTGCTGACCACACTGTTTGGCGCATTGCGGGAAGTATTCATGCAGTTTTGTAGGCGTTATGCGTTTCAAGCCGACGCGACCGCAGTGTGTTTGATGCAATGCGTGAAGTATTCATGCAGTCTTGTAGGCGCTGTGCGTTTCATGCCGACCACCGCGCCGCCCCGCGCCAGGTCAAATTGCGTGTTTGTTCTCTCTCTTAACTCGACTAATTAAAGGTGTTGTCTCTTGTATCACCGAAAGACGACAAAATTAGAAATTACTTTACTTTTACTCTCAGGAAATGAGAGATTTTGTCGCCTCCTCTCGTTTATAATTTATTTTCTGAATCCAATTTTTTCTCTCTTTTTTTGGTACCTACATTCAAAAAGATTGCAAAATTTGCTGCCATGGGCCGCGGCCCATGTGGGCACCCCCTTAATCCGGCCCTGACTTTTATTTCTTTTTTTTGTGCGTGTTTTTATTTTCAGGGCAACCATACGATTGAACCATACTTGTGAATTTTAGTTTACATATAGTTCAGGCTAAATTTTAGTTTTTGCACTCCCAAGCATTATTAAACTTTATTTCTTTTATATACTAAGAAGCTGTATTCTATATACTTTCAAAACTTAATCAAATTTGCGTTCAATTAAAAATTAATTTCTAATTTTAGTTCTTAAAAAGTTAGTATTTCGGTTTTCCTTTCATTTGAGCTTTGAATTGAAAAGTAATGGATTATGCTACGTTAGTGTAGTTAATTTACTGCATCTCATTAATGCTTGTCATGGAGCAGAACTTATCGAAGATCAAACAACTTCTGAATTCCGATACCAATAGGTGATACCTATTCCATATTTTTGCGGAAATAGTGCGTTTAATAATATAACAATTTTTCATGAACGTATTTTGTTAACCTATGTTAAAACAGATACAACTTAAAATGGGACTAAGACTGCATAAAAATAAGATAAAGTTATAAAATGAAAATAAAAAAACCGGGGCGTTTTGCGGTGATTACACCCGCATTTTAAATTCAAACCAGGTTTTTTATTTTATCTCTTTATTGTACTTTTTGCAGCCTTAGCTCCATTTTAAGTTGTAGCTGTATTAGCGTTTCGCGCCGATTATTTATTTTTTTCCATCCCTTTGTTAAAATGCAGTGACCCCTAGAATCACTTTAAAAATTGAAGATTTAATCGTGAGAAAGCTTCTTGTTAATCTGAATTAAAAGGGTCAAAACTAGGTTGGGAAAGTAAGGATGGGTTTAAGTAATATAGGTAAGTTTCATATCCAGTTCTGATTGAAATTTATGCATACCTCTCATCAACACCTGGAAAATAAATAATCAGCTGATATTTAAATGGATGCACAGACCAGTGTTTTCAGATAAAATAGGCGTTACAACTCCCTCCTTCTGCGTCAGACTTGTCAAATCCTATCGACATTTGCAGTGATATGCCATTTTTTTACTTTGGACATTACACGAAATGGGTATTTTTTTTGAGGGGGCATTTTCTGTAACAGACATTCAAATGAGGACATCACGACAGTAGGCATTTTTTATTGGACATTTTTACAGTTAGACATTTTATATTAAACATTTTCACTTGTCACCAGAACTAAAATATCTGCCCTAGTTAGACACAACCTCTACCATTCATTTCCCTAAACGCATGAGTGTTTTCATAGATGGGGTTTGAAAATTGTAGTTTCTAATTACAAAATGTAGTCCAAATGTAATAGTATTACTGTTTTATGGTAAAGTAACCTGTATTGTAGTTCCGATGCTCGGCGTGCCGTCCTCGTTCAGAACGAACAGCCACCAGTACCCAGGGAGCAATTTCCCAGGGTCCGTCGGTAGGACCACATAATAAGAGTTATCAACATCCTTTTCGTTCAGATCCAGCTCCACAAGCCTTTGATCCGTGTTCGTCGAGTGCGTGGCACTCCCCAAACGAACAAAACTCGCGTAGACAACGTCACTGTCCGTCACGAAGTCCAGTCTTCCACCAGGCTTGATCTTAGTGACCGACACGCTAGAGATGACAGGCCTAACCGCTTTGCTCCCATCGTCGTTGAACAAGTAGGACGGCGTGTATATCTGGAGATTGAAGTGGTTCGTCTTGCAGTTCCCGCAGAGACCGCCGCCTCCGCAGATGACGGTGGCGTCCTGCATCAAGAGGCAAAGCGAGTGGTAAACCCGGGGGATGATACTGAAGGCCGCCAATCGGAACAGGTCATCGTCGGGGGAGTAGATCTCCGAGGTCAACTGGGCTCCGTCCTCCCTGAACGGCAACCCGACGGCTTGGCCCCCGTTGATGAAGACCTCCGCGTTCGGCAGGACCACGGAGTTGGAGAAGATACGCGGGTAGGCCATTTTGTTGCCCGTCTTCCTGACGGCGAAGTTGGCGTTGGGTGAACCGACGGTGACGACGTAGCCGTTGGTGGTGGCGGGAGTGTCGTCGTAGTTGGGTGACCCGCCGGCGACTAGGATTTGACCTCCAACGGCGTCGAACATGACGGAGGCGGCGCACATGGCGTCCCCGTCGTCCAAGCGTAAACCGGCGCCTCTTTGGCCACCAGTGCCGGACACGAAGTACACGTTCATGGCTTTGCTGGGCCCGACTTGGACCACGGTTTCGTTGGACCAACCGTACATCAAGGCGTGGTTGTCGGAACGGAACAGGCCTTTCTTATCGGCTGTTAGCATGGGCTTCACCGGGCACCCGGGGAGCAGAGTCCATGTGTTCGTCTTGGTGTCGTAGATCTCTCCGTTTTTGAGGACTTTCCTGTTGCCGGTGAATGATCCGCCCAATTCGAAGATTCGGCCGCTGGAACATGTGCATGAGGATTGGTAGCCTCGCCCGATCTTCATGTCCGCCGCCGCGATCCAAGCGTCGGAGGCTGGGTCGTATATACTAGTCTTAGGAGCGTTATTTCCGCCTGTAATAGAAAAATGAGATTGTTATCACCCGCGGATATTGGAACCGTAATATTGATTGAAGAAACCGTAATATATAGGAGGGCAGACGGCTGAAGCAAAAAATTTATTATCTTGGCATCGTTACAAAATCTACCATCATTTTATAATTTCGGGGTTTATTTTTGGGTTTTTTTATGAAAAAAAGAATAACAAAAATATTATGTTCTTGGAATTTTTGGTGAAACTTCTTAATGTGTCCAAAATTATCCACAGCAAATTCTAAGGAGACGTTTTGGTTGGTAAGCTTTTAAAAATATGCAACATAATCAGAGTCTGGGGTATGTCATAGTCTTTTTTCAAACAACGATTTTTAGAGGGCCCGATTTAGTTTACACCGCGATTATGGAGGGTTCACGGAGGTCTTCAAAATATTATCATAAAAATGAGAATACATACGAGCCTCGAGTAAAATTCGACATAAGTAAGTAAGTAAGTAAGTAAGTAAGTAAGTAAGTAAGTAAGTAAGTAAGTAAGTAAGTAAGTAAGTAAGTAAGTAAGTAAGTAAGTAAGTAAGTAAGTAAGTAAGTAAGTAAGTAAGTAAGTAAGTAAGTAAGTAAGTAAGTAAGTAAGTAAGTAAGTAAGTAAGTAAGTAAGTAANGTTCGGAACCCCGGAGCAATTCGCCCGCCAACTTGTACCCTTGTACAACCTGCCCTTGTTGCTGTGGACAAATAAACCTTGGTCTTCATACATCTGGTCTCTTCATTTATTTCACGAGGTAAATTACCATTGTCTGTACGTACGCTCTACCATCTGAGCTTGATAGGGACTCAGCATACACCATCCCTATCTGGTGGCGCCCCCAAAAGTCATCATCCTGTCAGCACCGTGCGGGGGCTGATAGTGTGATTGTCATTCAGCGGTTGGGTTGTGAGAGTAGCCCACATCGCCTTGCTCTGCAAAACCCCCATAGTAGTTTTAGCCCCGCTCCAAAGTCCGCGATAGACGATCAAATTCCCGAACCAATTCCGATCAAAGTAGCATCAAAGTTTCGGGAGTCATCAGTCTTAAACTCATTAATTTGCTTCATTTTAAAATGAAAACTTGGCAGAAATGTTTCCTATGGCAGGAAATGATGAATGGTGGCACTCCGTTCTGATCTTACTTTGAACAAAAAAGTGCGGCCCGTCAAAATTTGATGTTAGATGGTGACCACCAGTCATCAGCATGTCTACTTTGATCGGAATTGGTTCGGAATTTGATCGTCTATGCAGGGCTTTATGCGCTTCGCGCTCTCTAAAACCCGCTTCACCTGACTATAAGTGAGTCAATCTGAATTGGGTTTGACCAGGGACAATCTCGTATCAATGGCCGCAAAAATAATCAAAATCGGCTCGATGGAACCACGAAACGAACTGTGACAAAAGTGAAAATTAAAGAGTATTTTCGTCGATGATCCGTCAAGCCGAAATGCCACGGTCGAATGGCGGCGAGCGGGTTGGAAAATAATTGAAGGGAGGCTTTTCAGGTCATTTCTAATTCTTATTTTTTAAAGACAAGTTTACTTTTGGCTCCTAGGTTTGCGAGAATTCAACCCTCTATTTGTCTAATTAGTCCCAATTAGGTTCCGAAGAATTATGAATGCGTCAAAGGAAGATACGAGATCTTATGAACCACCCACTTCAATCGGTTTGATCGATCATCAACGAAGATACGCTTTTTAGGAAGTGAGAGGGCTAATAGTAATGTTGATATCGGCGAGGATGGTCGGTTAGAGATTTTTACCGCAAAAAAACAAAAAGTTGGTCTTAACTTTAGTAACCAATGACGTTTGAGATGTTTCCCAAATATATTCTGAAATCAAAGCACTGTGTTGTAGGTTTCTTTTTTTCTTTTTTTTTCTTTCTTTCTTTTCTTTTTGGTATTTAGGAAGAACATTTTGAAAGCGACTTTGAATAGCTCAAGAAGACGCAATTACACAGGAGAATATCTTAAATCTCAAGTAGTATGTCTTAAATATACGCATAGCGTCAGGTTCCTGCTTCAAATGCCTCACAAAAGGGTCCGTTTGTGTGGACAGGCGGAACTCGAAATCGTCGGTTTAATTTGTCTTAAGAAGGTTGAAACTAATTTGCATCATTTACGGAGAACGAGCACCCGACCCTCTCGAGTTCAAACGGTCGAGCTCGCCGAAAGTTCTTTGGCATTGTCCGAGAAAGCTCCTTACGTCAACGACTTAAAGATGATGTCCAATTAGCCGAGGGAATCCGGGGGAGAAACCTCTTAATATCTTGTGTGAAATGATGTGTAGCAGGAATTATAAAGCAGCTCTTATGATGGATGCCGAGGCATAGCTTTGCGAGTATTACCTCCGATATTGCGGTACAAATGAGCTTTGATTTATCAAAACTAACTAATGTGTCGCGCTTTCTGCAACCCCCTCGGCGCGGGAACACGCGAGGACCCACCCTCCGCGAGCAACCACCCCCGACTCCCGAATAAGGGTTATTCATCTCGCGGCTAATAGCTTCCAATCTTTCTTATCATGTGTGCTCATAGATGTTCGTAGGCTGTCCTGCGCGTGATAAAATGCCCAGATAAAAGTTACCATCTGATGATTTGGTGCATCGTATTTGTCAGTTTGACGTCCGACGGTTTCGTGGAGCGATATTCCGTAAACAAAGGCGGAGGTTTCGTGTAAGAGGTTTTTGATGGATACGGAGGGTTGATTGCGAGCGTTTGCTGGAGTCGCGCGCAATTATCGGAGGTACTAATTCGGAAGTAGACAAATGGAAAGACTCTATCTAACTGGAGAGTAATCACTAACGTTCCGGATGAACATAGATATCCAAAATTGCCTCTCCGGGAAAAAGTACATGAAACGTTAGTTGTGATAGGATTGTTACGCACTTACATTTGACAAAAATTGCTCAATTGAATATTTTGCTTTTTTTGTAGACAGTCGCCAACATATTTCAGGGGAGTGGATTATTTTAAAGCAATAAAGCTGTTACAGTGAGGACATTAAACAAGCAGGAAGCTCCAACGCATTCGCGTCGGAGAGCGGCTCTGGCGACAGTAGTTGTAGTCAAGAATGAGGGCCTAGACACATTTTGTCACTGATGTACATTCCGACAACTGTCGATTCATGTTTTGTAACTTAGCAGATTTACGTAGCCGGTGTATAAATGTGTATTGGCCCTTTATATGCAGAATGCATGGCACTATCACTTGTTGTATACTTTTAATTTTGAAGGCTCTTTGGAGGTCCGCATCCTAAAAAATTTCTCCCACAGTATTTTTTTTAACTTGTCGTTGTGATTGAGCGCCAATTTCTTTCAATTGAGTGATCATCTTCTTTTTTTGTCAAATAACTAGTTTGTGCAACAATAAGACTGAAACTGACTGTAACTGAAATTTTGTCTTTTTAGATATTTGGTTATTTTGTATTTATTAGATTGTATATTTTCACAGCCCTGTGATAAGAAACTTTGGAATGCATGGTTGATAAGTCGTTTAGCGAGGCTGCAAAAAATTTGCATTTTTATATCTGAAATTGTAGGTAGTGGTTTTGAATATCGAATTGCGATATATTACACGGTTAAGATAGGGCTATATGTCTTGTCGTAAGCGGCGACATAGAGTCGATGTCATTTCAATAATCGCCCCGATGGCCACGGTAGTTGTGTGCCGTCTGCCCACGTAGCAAATGGGAGGCGAAAATGGAAGTCATCAGTGCATCGGTGAGTGTTGAACGTGAAAATTGCGCGGGCCGCGCAAATTTCGCGATCATCAATGTGTCGGGGCTGAGCATCCATCATTTTCTATCTTGTTTTGAAGCTATGTGAGTTGTGATAAAGTACATAATTTTTTTGTATTATATTACTGTATAAATAGTGTAAAATTTGTACAGAACTTTGTACAAAATAGTTTCTTGTAAAAAGTGTGGACTACTGCCACGTCGTTTCCATACAAACTCCCAATACGCCGCAAGTACCACAAATGCCCATGTTAACCAAATCACCTCATCATCCATTTTTTAAGGACACAATTTTTAATTCAAATCAACTTACTTTATCAAAACTCCAATCGTTTATCAAATAACATATATCGAGTCATTTTAACAAAATCAAAGACGGCATAATATCATTTATCACACAGCCAAAAACCTAACCTAGAAACCACGATGTTTACAAACTCAAAATGGAGAACACTCGTTGGTCCAATAATAAAAATTGATTTGCCGCCTTTTTTCTTTGCAAGCAAAACGTGTGAAAATGGGATCAGGCGTCAACACTCAACGATGCACTGATGACTTCCATTTTCGCCTCCCATTTGCTACGTGGGCAGACGGCATTAGACGTTTACGGTTTCCTTGGTAACCTTTGTTTGCTATCAGCTGATATCGAGTAATATGACTAGGAAGCTCCAACCCAGTGGTTGGAGCTTCCTTAACCGCGAAAACTTTAAAATTCAAATTTTCAAATTTTGAACGTAAAGTACATTTTTTCCATCACGAGATTAAAGCACAGACAAGTTTTGAATTATTGACTGTATCACCATGATTCCAAAAATACACTACACAACATAGCATTGGCTAACAATAAAACAATATGCAATAAAATAAAGTCATGACAAGGAACATGGCCGAAAATGGCGCCGATTCCCATTAACCAACGCGCGGTCTCTCCAATGTAACATGGTCCAATGATACTCCCCAGCTGGGACCGTCCGGAATAGCAGCTCTAGTGCAAGCACCAGAGCCGCTAAAATCGTCTGGTCAACAATTATTTTTTCAATCGCAAAATCATATTTATACTATCCATCAAAAATTAAACAAAGTATCTGGATAACTACTAATGGATAGCACACTTTAAAGTATGACATGTATTTTCATGTAAAATATATGAGACTCTTCATTGAACGTATGTAAGATGAAACAAGTTATACTGTTTTGAATACGGGAGAAAAAAAACAGAAAAACATAAGTATGAGAAGATCAATTTTATTTAGATTCGTTTGTAATACTTTTAAGATTAAAGAAAGGCCCGTATCAGCTAGTTTGAAAGATGTAATGGCGCTTGTCATCCACTATCTAAGCTCAAATTTGAGTATGTCGTCAAAACGTATGCCACAATAAGATGTCATAACTCTCATAATCGCTTTAAAAGTAAATTCATAATCGAAAGAAAACTTCTTGTTCATCGATTTTTCCTTGGTCAAAACTGCGTTTATCAAATTGGAGTTGCGGGAACTGGTTTTCATCGAAATAGATGCATCCCCCACATTACCGCCTTGAAAATAAATGAAATTAGTATTATAATTCTAAGGTAAAGTAACTTGAATTGTAGTTCCGATACTCGGAACGCCGTCCTTGTTCATGACGAATAAGAACCAGTACCCCGGGAGTAGGATTCCAGAGTCCGCCGGCAGCTCTACGAAATACACGCCCTCATCATACTCGTTCAGGTCCAGAGGCACACGCCTTTGGTCCGTGTTAGTCGAGTGCGTGGCACTACCTATACGAACAAGACTCGCCATGACAACCTCACTATCCGTCACCAAGTACAGTCTCTTCCCAGGTTTGACCACAGTCCGGGACACGCTAGTGATAACCGGTCTCGTTGCTCTGCTCCCATCGGCATTAAGCAAGTACGATGGGGTGTACACCTGAAAATTCAGGTGGTTCGTCTTGCAGTTTCCGCAGAGACCGCCGCCTCCGCAGATAACGGTGGCGTCCTGCATCAAGAGACAAAGCGAGTGGTAGACACGAGGGATGATACTCCACGCCGCCAACCGGAAGAGGTCATCGTCGGGGGAGTAGATCTCGGAGGTTAGGTGGGCTCCGTCCTCCCTGAACGGCAACCCGACGGTTTGACCCCCGTTGATGAAGACCTCCCCGTTCGGGAGGACCACGGAGTTGACGAAGATACGCGGGAAGAACATCTTGTTGCTTGTCTTCCTGACGTGGACTTTGTGGTTCGGTTTCCTGATGGTGAGGACGAAGCCGTTGGTCGTGGCAGGTGTGTCGTCGTAGTTGTGTGACCCACCGGCGACTAGGATCTTGCCCTTGGTGGCGTCGAACATGACGGCGACACCGCACATTGCATCCTCGTCGTTGCCGCGCTTACCGGCGCCGTGGTGACTACCCGTGCCGGACACCGTGTACCAGTTCATGGCCTTGCTCGGCCCGGCTTGGAGCACCGTGTCGTTCTTCCAGGCGAACAACATGGCGTGGTTGTCCGAGCGGTAGATGCCTCTCCTGTCGGCTGTTAGTATCGGCTTCACGGGGCACCCGGGGAGCAGAGTCCATGTGTTCGTGTTGATGTCGTAGATCTCCCCGTTTTTGTCGACTGCTCTGTCGCCGGTGAATGATCCGCCCAATTCGAAGATTCGGCCGCTGGAACAAGTGCATGAGGATTGGTAGCCTCGCCCTATCTTCATGTCCGGGGCTGAGATCCAAGTGTCAGAGGCTGGGTCGTATATACTTGTCCTAGGAGCGCTATTTCCACCTGTAATTTTCAAACAAAGAAATAAAATGTTATTGTCCCCCACGGGGATAGGAACCTACTTGCACAGAGCTTAAAATTGAATTATTCATACACAAGTATATGTATATGAGTCTTGATATCTATAGAAGTCGGAAAAAGTATCTTCTGCTTTGCAGCTACCATCATTTTGTACATTTTTTGGTTTGAATTAAGATGGAGTCCCCCCTCCCACACCAAAATATGAACCTGGAATTTTTTTGTAAAAGTTCTTCATGATTTCCGAAAGGTATTCATAGAATATACCAGGAGGGCTTTTTGGTTGGTTTTCTCTGAAAATTATTTATGAAGGAATCAGAGTGCGGGGCGTGTTCATAGTCTTTCCTTAAAAGGAGACTTTCCGTTTGAGCCCCATTTGTTTTACACCCTGATTAAGTATGGTTTAAGGAGGTCCTCAACTTTACATCATAAGAATGATAATATTAACGAATCCTGAATATAATTCAACAATTTTGACTCTGAAAAGGATCTTTGCATGGGATCACAAGGATTTAACCCTACAGAAATGTAAAAACAACACATATAGCATTTTGAAGGATTTGTAATCTGAGCGGCAAGTTCATGCCTACCTTTAAATCCTTCAAAATCAAAGGGTTTTTTCTTTCGATTTTTTTTTTTCGCTGGCAAAAACTTGTTATTCCTTGCAGAGAGAGTCATTCCCTTCAATTTCACTTAAAATTCGTTATAATTGTCCATTTTACGATGCAAACGTTAAGGATCTCCTTAGACATCCCTTAACCAGAATGTAAACTGAATAGGGACTCCTAGGGAATGAAGCTACTTCAAGAGTGACTACGAAACCGACCTAAAAATGAAGAGAGGATGTAAAAAGAGAGGCACCTGTGACAATGACTCTTCCGTTGACGTCGATGGAAATACCAGGGCAGAACATATCATGCTTCGTATTGGTGATGGTGCGCTGCGAGACGATCCCATCCTTAATATTGTAGATGGCGGTGGCCGTGAGGGTAAGCGGACCTCCGACGAACGTGTCTTTCCCCCAGGAGGACCACATGAGGACGTTGCCGTTGGGCAGAATGGAGGCTGCGACGGGGATGACCGGGGTGTCGATCGTGGGTCCCCAGATCCCGAGGCTCGGGTCCGGGGGGGTGTACGAAGGGGCGGAGTACACGTTGAGCTCAGCTATAGACGTGTACGCTTGGCTTTTAGGCTCTGATGTATGCACGAGTCTGATATACTGCGCTTTAACGGGTTCGAATTCGGATTCCTGCAAAAATACGCTATTGAAGTTGAAGCATATACGATCAAAACGTCATTAAGTATTATGTAATGCACTTTTTCCGATTTTTGACCCCTCTCTCCCCCTTGTAACTCACAATTAACGTAGCCCTACACCCCCTTTTGAATTACGTAAGACTGTCCGCCCCCTCCCCCATTTTAAAATAATCAAGAAAATGCCGAGGGAACAGGTTGAAAAACTTCGGGTTTTTTTTTTGGAGATATTTCGCTAAAATACAATGAGAAGAGATCAACACAGGTGTGCAAATGCATAAATACCTAGATTCATTTTCTTCATAATTTTACCGAAAAAGTACGCATTGATGATTATATAATTCCCCTCTTGCTTCATTAACCGTATCCTCCAAAAGAAAAACCCATTAAAAATGATAAAATTTCAATTTTTTCCGATGACAATACTTCCTCTATCCGCAAGGGAAGTGAGAAAGTATGAATTCCAAAACATCAGTACTGAAATATTGGGATCAGGAGAGCATAGTTTCAAGGTGGAGTGAATCATAAGGCGTTTAAAAAAGTTAGAATCTGCGTTTGAGCAATCCTGATATATTGCGCTTTGACAGGCTCGCATTCGTACATCTGAATGTATTGGTTTTGTTGACGTCACTCACCACAGTAATGCATGTCATGTTATTTTTTTCCATTTTGTTTGTTTCACGTCGAGCAACCGCTGCAAATGTATGCATCTCATAAATCCAGGGCAAAAATAACCATGATATGCGTATGTATTTCCACAATGATGACGTCATACCGTTACTGCAGACGTCACTGGCGCTTTATAATGGACCACTAGATAAGGTACGAATTTCAGCATTCTGATACATGTTTCTTAACCAAAATTTTACATAAAACACGATGCACACAACCGCACACAAATTACCGAAATTAACTCCTTACGAAGATATTTAATGATTCTTAATGCGTGAATTCAAACCACCCGCTCATGAAAACACAATGCTCTACGTGATTCACATCGCGCGCTAAACGTTATCATGACAGTCTCTGCGATATAAAAATCTGGCAACCTTAATCTTGACGCTTTGGCTCAGTTATAGCAAATTGCTAATAGTTTGAACAACACATGATGGGAAATGAACATTGCTCGATTGAGAAGCTTGCTGAAACCGTTGTAGTGGGCGATTTGACTCACGTAGAGTTTTGAGTTTCTTGTCAGCGGGCAGTTCAAATTCCTCGTAACCAATGTGAAATAAAAACGTTAATATCTTCGTTTGGAGTTGGTTTCCGTAATTTTCGTTGTGTGAATCGTTTTCCACGTGAAATTCTGGTTAAGAAACATGTATCAGATCGTTTAAATTCGTACCTTGTCTAGTGGTCCATTCCCATTCATTCTTACGGCCCTCGACTATCGAGCACACCCCTTCTTCTCCACCTGTCTGTTCAGTAGAAACACGTCCATTTTTTGCTGAAATATATCGTCACCTTCCGGCCGAACTATCACAAGCGCCATCAGACGTTTCAAAATTTCCGCCACCTACTTCTTTTACAGAGAAATTGCTCAAACAAGCTATCCGATAATTTCACTGAATTTCCTTTGTGCTGCCGATGAAAATCGGTGAAATTTTCAAACGAATTCAACCAACAATTTTTCTGTAAGAAAATAAAATGGCGGCGGAAATTTTGTTACGTTGAATGGCTCGGCCGGAAAGTGACGACATACTTAAACCATCAAAACGCGATTCTCCGACTAACACAACTGACCCATTTTGCGTTTTCATGGACTAAAATTGAATCTCCTACCTTTTCTGTTTTATCCGCAGCCCAAGTGCCGAACGCCACGAGCTGCCAGTTCATCCCATCCTCGCTGACGGAAACAATATGTCCAGTGATCAAACCATTGCCATTGCCAACTTGTCTGGGGAGCATGGAGATTCCGCTCACGATCTGGACAGCCTTCATGTCGATGATGATCGCGTGGGGCAGAGGCGCCGATGCCGGACGATACTCGGTGTGCCAGAAGGAGTTACGATCGCCATCCAACACCTTTTCGCACTCGTTGCCCGCGTGGGAGCTGTCGCACGTGACCGTCCAGCCGTTCCGGTTGAGCAGTTCCCCCGTCGGAGGTGCCCCCTTTGGAGGCCCCCCCGTAAGGGCTCCTCCCAGAGGGGTTGCTCCTAGAAGGGATGTGCCGGTGCCCGCAAAGGTCGGTCCCGGAAGAAACTCCGGTTCGGTGATACCCTCAGCTTCCAACGCCGAGAATACGTTGCCATTGGATCTTCCGTAAAGACTCAGTGAAAGGAGAACCAGAGTCAGCATCATCCTTTTGGCAGAGATCCGGTTCGATTTAAAGAACCTGCGAGCCAATTGTTGAAATAGAAAGACAATGTTTTGGGCAAATAAGACAAAAGAGATATGGGAGGATCCTGTTGTTGGAAGCGGGTGGTTGCGATGGACAAATGAGGTAGGCAGAAGACTAAACTGCCGGCAACCACCAAGGAACCCTATAGTTAGTCCAGAATTTTCTCCCTTAGTCATCCCTTAGCCGCATCGTAACCAATAGGATTGCTCCATCCCTGTGTCTTCTTTGTCTATCGCTTTGTCTATCAATTTCAACCATCCCCCTTCCGCTGGTCCTCGTGTACCCTAAGAATTTAAACTTCGATGTGCACGTTAACCTCGCGTACACTGAAAGGACTATTTGTGGTGTATCTTTAGTCGTTCTTTGAACAATTCCTTTTCTTAAGGATAGGGAAGCCTTGTAAGCTTTTTATTGCAATCGAGGAGGCCTAAACATTAGTATTATTAAATGTATGAATTTCACGAGCTTTGGGTGAAATTCAACAGAAGAACTGTGGAGATCTTTGAGGGATTGCTCGCTATTCATTCTTTAGATAACTCCTTTTCTCAGGGAGGTCCCGCATGGTTTTTAAGGGTGGTTCAAGGAAACTTTTTGCAAAACTCGTATGATTCAGCAGTGTAACCACGAAAGTAGACCCTCACCAGAGAAAACAATGATTTGTCACTGCAAAAATGTAAAGCACCAAAGAAGAATTCAAATATTTTGACAAACTTCAAAACCTGTGAAATACTTCGTTCTCTGTATTTTTTTGCAGTGACAAATTATTTTGAATCATTGAATTTTGTATCATTTTCAAAAATGAACCGTTGAATTTTACGCAAATGTCGAATGAACTGTCCTTGAAAGGATGAAGCGCGTTTAATAAACCTCATTTCATCACAATGAATCTAAATAAGGTCTCACGAAAGATAGGAGCCAATCAGGAACAACCATGCAAATGATTCGCACTTAAAATATTACTTTTGTGGTAAAAATTATAATGATTCCGGAGCTGTTCATTTTTATGAGAGTTGCGTTTTCAGCAATGAACCACTAGACATATATACTAAATTTTATTGGTTTTTTAAAATTTTCTAATAGTAAACTTTTTTTAAATTTTTAATAGTAAAATTTTAATTAGTTTTCAATCCATCTGCATACATAAAAACTGCTTTCACAGTGTCTTTGGTGTTCCGTGACAGCTAGCCCCAAAGTCTCTTATTCTCCCAAAGCCCTTCAAGGAGTTGGCACTCCCTCATTTCCTTTAAAAACCCCTGCTGCCACCATTTCACTCGTTGTCTCCTTCGTCTCCTCCCAGGAGGAACCATATCAACTGTCAATTTTCATTTTTAATTTTATTTAGTAAATATTTTAGTCTACAGTCTTTATTTTCTTAAGATAAAGATCTTTCGAACCACTGCACATATTTTCTCATTCAAGTTCCGGAATTCCCGTCCGCAAGAAAAACCATAATCAACCTATGCCAAATCGGGCATTAAAATCTAGTCATACGATAAAGGCAAATTACTAGAGTTTGGGTTCACAAACGTATCTTTTCTTTTCTGAAGTAATGTCTTTTCGATCATTTTAGGGGGAAAGTTGAAAAATATAACGAAATTAGTTTCATGCTCAATGGCCTCAAGTTTATCGACTCTGATTATTTTTTCGTGCTGGAAGTGTGGATTAACGTTGACAAAAAAAGTTATTTTGTAACTTCTAAGTTGAATTTGGGAGGTTTTAATGTTTTTATCTATTATACTTAAAATTTTGATGAGTAGACAATGAACATGTATGGGGCGCCTCATTTTGTACCTCGAATGGTATTGTACTATTTGCTTCGAATATATAATAGCTGCTGAAAATTCAAAACATATTTTTCTATAAATTGAGTTTCGTGAAGTTTTCATAAAAAGGTTGGTTAAAATAAACTTACTTTTAAAAGATGCAACCAAGTGCGAAAGGTGCGGAAGTTGACGAACGAAAGAGGACTTTCGAGATATCAGGAGTCAAATTTTAAATTGTAATCCTATGAAAATTCTAAGCATCCGACAGGTGCGGTGAAGCTTTAAAATATCTTACCTGTTTATCCCGTTTTCCTTGCTAATAGAAGAATCAAATATAGGTACATGTGTTTCTCGTGTGCGAAACTGAAGTATGAAGTACGAACCAACTTTGAGCCATAAATCACAAAATGTTAAAAAAAGAGTGAGATTCCATCGTGGCTTCAAAGTATTACGTATCTGCGCAGCTTGATATATTATTATTGTCGTCACTCTTTTTGAAACGGCTGCGGCACACTAAAGGCAAGCAGTGTTAATTCCCAAAACTTTTGAGGGCTGATTTTTCATGTATTTGGCTATTTATCTCTATTACTCTTATCAGGGCCGGATTTACCTACTTGCCGCCCATGGGCCGCCTGTATTTTTCCGCCCCCTTCTCATTCGTTTTGAAACATCAGTAGATCGTATCCGACAGTGGTTCGATGTATCGTTTGGTTCAAAACAATAGAGCATAACCTCAAACAAAAATTTTAGGATTTAATTTGGAAAAGCTGAAAATGAGAAAATTCCTAACAATTTCACTTTTCATTGCCATTTGGTACTCGAGAGAATAAAAATTCGATCACACAGGACCCGTTACCTCAGATTTCTAAATTGACTTTTGAGGCTGTGGTTACATATTGAATCCATCGATATCAATACAATCTCACTTGAGTGATCTGTCGAATACGATCTATAAAAACCATCAAGTGAACGTGCCGGTGGAGGAGGGGTGTATGAGACGCGTTTGCTCGTGTTGGGCACATTTTTTGTGAAAGCCCTGTCAACACTGGCAAAATTTCAGTTCCGTAAAACCATCTCTGTTTGGAGAAGGCCTTTCATGTAAAAAAAAAAAAAAAACGAACGAACAAATTATGAAAGAACAAACAAAAATGTGGTCAGTAATTTTTCCTTCCGCCGCCGCTGCGCCGACCGAACTGTGTTGGTGCAATGCGTGAAGTATTCATGCAGTCTTGTAGGCTCTATGCGTTTCAAGCCGACCACAGTGTATTTCACGCAATGCGTGAAGTATTCATGCAGTCTTGTAGGCGCTATGCGTTTCACGCCGACCGCCGCGCCGCCCCGTGCCAGGTCAAATTGCGTGTTTGGTTTCTCTCTTAACTCGACTAATTAAAGGTGTTGTCTCTTGTATCACCGAAAGACGACAATATTAGAAATTACTTTACTTTTACGCTCAGGAAATGAGAGATTTTGTCGCCTCCTCTCGTTTGTAATTTATTTTCTGAATCCGATTTTTTCTCTCTTTTTTTGATACCTACATTCAAAAAGATTGCAAAATTTGCCGCCCTCTACATTTTGCCGCTATGGGCCGCGGCCCATGTGGCCACCCCGTTAATCCGGTCCTGACTTTTATTTCTTTTTTTGGTATGTGTTTTTATTTTCAGGGCAACCATACGATTGAACCATACTAGTGAATTTTAGTTTAAATATAGTTCAGGCTAAATTTTAGTTTTTGCACTCCCAAGCATTATTAAACTTTATTTCGTTTATATATTAAGAAGCTATATTCTGTACACTTTCAAAACTTTTTGTGATCAATTAAAAATTAAATTCTAACCTCAGTTCTTAAAAAGTTAGTACTTCAGTTTTCCTTTCATTTGAGCTTTGAATTATAAAGTAATCGATTATGCTACATTGGTGTAGTTAATTTACTGCACCTCTTTAATTCTTGTTATGGAGCAGAAGTTATCGAAGATCAAACACTAACTCCTGAATTCCGATACCAATAGATGATACCTATTCCATATTTTTGCGGAAACAGCGCGTTTAAAAATATAAAAATTTTTTCATGAGCGTATTGTGTTAACCTGTGTTAAAACAGATACAACTTAAAATGGGACTAAGACTGTATAAAAATAAGATAAAGACATAAAATGAAAATAAAAAATTTTTCGCGATGATTACACCCGCATTCCAAATTCAAACCAGGTGTTTCATTTCATGTCTTTATTGTACTTTTTGCAGCCGTAGCTCCATTTTAAGTTGTAGCTGTATTAGCGTTTCGCGCCGATAATTATTTTTTTTCTCATCCCTTTGTTAAAATGTAGTAACCCCTAGGAGCACTTTAAAAATTGAAGATTTAATCGTGAGAAAACTTCTTGTTAATCTGAATTAAAACGGTCAAAACTAGGTTGGCAAAGTAAGGATGGGTTTAAGTAATATGGGTAAGTTTGATATCCGGTTCTGATTGAAATTTATATGCATAGCTCACATCAACCCCTTGAAAATATATAATCAGCTAATATTTAAATAGATGCACAGGTCAGTGTTTTCGGATGAAATAGGCGTTATAACTCCCTTCTTCTGCTTCGTACTTGTCAAATCCAGTGGACATTTGCAATAATATGCAATTTTATTACTTTGGACATTACGCGAAATGGGTAATTTATTGAGGGGGCATTTTCTGTAACAGACATTCAAATGAGGACATCACGACAGAAGGCATTTTTTATTGGACATTTTTACAGTTAGACATTTTAAATTGAACATTTTCACTTGTCACCAGAACTAAAATATCTGCCTCAGTTTCGACACAACCTCTGTATCATTCACTTCCCTAAACACGTAAGTGTTTTCATAGATGGGGAATATAAATTATAGTTTCTAATCACAAAATGTAGTCCAAATGAAATAGTATTACTGTTTTATGGTAAAGTAACCTGTATTGTAGTTCCGATGCTCGGCGTGCCGTCCTCGTTCAGAACGAACAGCCACCAGTACCCCGGGAGCAATTTCCCAGGGTCCGTCGGTAGGACCACATAATAAGAGTTATCAACATCCTTTTCGTTCAGATCCAGCTCCACAAGCCTTTGATCCGTGTTCGTCGAGTGCGTGGCACTCCCCAAACGCACAAAACTCGCATAGACAACGTCACTGTCCGTCACGAAGTCCAGTCTTCCACCAGGCTTGATCTTAGTGACCGACACGCTAGAGATGACAGGCCTGACCGCTTTGCTCCCATCGTCGTTGAACAGGTAGGACGGCGTGTATATCTGGAGATTGAAGTGGTTCGTCTTGCAGTTTCCGCAGAGACCGCCGCCTCCGCAGATGACGGTGGCGTCCTGCATCAAGAGACAAAGCGAGTGGTAAACCCGGGGGATGATACTGAAGGCCGCCAATCGGAACAGGTCATCGTCGGGGGAGTAGATCTCCGAGGTCAACTGGGCTCCGTCCTCCCTGAACGGCAACCCGACGGCTTGACCCCCGTTGATGAAGACCTCCGCGTTCGGCAGGACCACGGAGTTGGAGAAGATACGCGGGTAGGCCATTTTGTTGCCCGTCTTCCTAACGGCGAAGTTGGTGTTGGGTGAACCAACGGTGACGACGTAGCCGTTGGTCGTGGCGGGTGTATCGTCGTAGTTGGGTGACCCGCCGGCGACTAGGATTTGACCCCCGACGGCGTCGAACATGACGGAGGCGGCGCACATGGCGTCCCCGTCGTCCAAGCGTAAACCGGCGCTTCTCTGACCACCGGTGCCGGACACGAAGTACACGTTCATGGCTTTGCTGGGCCCGACTTGGACCACCGTTTCGTTCGACCAACCGTACATCAAGGCGTGGTTGTCGGAACGGAACAGGCCTTTCTTATCGGCTGTTAGCATGGGCTTCACGGGGCACCCGGGGAGAAGAGTCCATGTGTTTGTTTTGGTGTCGTAGATCTCTCCGTTTTTGAGGACTTTCCTGTTGCCGGTGAATGATCCGCCCAATTCGAAGATTCGGCCGCTGGAACATGTGCATGAGGATTGGTAGCCTCGCCCGATCTTCATGTCCGCCGCCGCGATCCAAGCGTCGGAGGCTGGGTCGTATATACTAGTCTTAGGAGCGTTATTTCCGCCTGTAATAGAAAAATGAGATTGTTATCACCCGCGGATATTGGAACCGTAATATTGATTGAAGAAACCGTAATATATAGGAGGGCAGACGGCTGAAGCAAAACATTTATTATCTTGGCATCGTTACAAAATCTACCATCATTTTATATTTTCGGGGTTTATTTTTGGGTTTTTTTATGAAAAAAAGAATAACAAAAATATTATGTTCTTGGAATTTTTGGTGAAACTTCTTAATGTGTCCAAAATTATTCACAGCAAATTCTAAGGAGACGTTTTGGTTGGTAAGCTTTTAAAAATATGCAACATAATCAGAGTCTGGGGTATGTCATAGTCTTTTTTCAAACAACGATTTTTAGAAGGCCCGATTTAGTTTACACCGCGATTATGGAGGGTTCACGGAGGTCTTCAAAATATTATCATAAAAATGAGAATACATACGAGCCTCGAGTAAAATTCGACATAAGTAAGTAAGTAAGTAAGTAAGTAAGTAAGTAAGTAAGTAAGTAAGTAAGTAAGTAAGTAAGTAAGTAAGTAAGTAAGTAAGTAAGTAAGTAAGTAAGTAAGTAAGTAAGTAGAGACCGAGTTGACCGGCGATGCGCTCTCAAAGGCGGGCAAAGGCAACCGGGCTCTCAAAGGCAACCGGCGGCATATACTGCCGACCGACGTGCACCCTGATGTTGGACCGTGCTCCTTAACTTATCTCATGATCATCATCACATTTTCCACAAGACTCCACTCGCACGGCTATGGCTGTCTGACAGTCAATGAAGGTCGTATCAACGACGTTGACAGGCGCTATAGAATGCGGACTTTCGGTGCACGTTCATGCCTCCACCGAATTGGACTCGGTTGTTTCAATCTCCCTTTGATAGCTAACGCTGGTAAAATTCTACAATTTAACTTTGGAAATAGATTCTTGCGAGGTAAAACAAGTATTTGGCTTTGCAAAAATTTAAAAAAAGGCGCCAAGGAAAATATTTCGATGGCTTTGAAAACCTTAAAGCAGGTTCAGACCCAGCTTCAATTTTGTCGAAATGATAGTTTTTTCTTCAGTATTTTATACTTTTCTCGTGAAATCTTGTGCGATCCTTATTTTTATCCCTTGCAAAGAAAGTCGCAGTCCTGAAATTTACCAAAATTCGTTATACTTCATGCCTTCATGCCATTTCTTCATTCTTTTTACGATGCGAATGTTGAGAACCATCTTTAACATCCTACAATTCAAATGTAAACCAAACGGGGACCCTAAAGGAAAGCAGCTGTTTGAGGAATGAACATGAATATGACCCAATTCTAGAGGCGGATCCAGCAATTCGGCAGCACCGGATTTTCTCCATTTAAACCTATGCTAAATAATTGATTCTTGCAGGAGTACTTGGCTGCTCCAAGAATCGATACATTTCCATAGGTTTGAATGGAGAGGACGCAATGTAGCCAATGTTCTAGATTCGCCAATGCCCAAAGCTAAGGGTGTAAAAAGAAAGGTACCTGTGACAATGACTCTTCCGTTGACATCGAGGGAAAGACCAGGGCAGAACATATCATGCTTTGTATTGGCGACGGTGCGCTGCGAGACGGTCCCATCCTTAGGATTGTAGGTGGCTGTCATTGTGACGGTAAGCGGACCTTTGACGAACGTGTCTTTCCCCCAGGAGGACCACACGAGGACGTTGCCGTTGGGTAGAATGGAGGCTGCGACGGGGATGACCGGGGTGTCGATCGTGGGTCCCCAGACACCAAGGCTCGGGTCCGGGGGGGTGTACGTAGGGTAGGTGTACACGTTGAGCTCAGCGATGGAGGTCAAGGCTTGGTTCTTGGGCTCTGTTGTATGCACGAGTCGGATATACCGCGCTCTGACGGGCTCAAATTCAGATACCTGTAAAAATATAGGACAAAACATACAGGATTGAATTGTCATATGGGCGTATTTTTTTAATACGAAATTATTACGTAAAAATCGCTAATTATTGATTTTTAAGTATCCGTGATCGTATCTAAGAAAAGGGATTTTCGGTTTTCCTCGGTCCCTCCTTCCGGAAGAATATTTTCCTAAATTTTTGCAACTGCACGTGAAGAAAGAAAATATGGAAATTTCTGCGCATGTTTGACCTCAAAAGCTCAAAAATTGAAGAAGATAGGAATCCAGAAGTCACAAGACAACAATTCTTGAGGTGTAAAGAAACGTCGTTTAATATGCAAGAAGATAAGGGGAACATTTATTTGGGTTATATGGTCCCCTTATACGGATTCGGTCACTTTTTTGCATACTTAGCAGTACAAAAAATTGCCAAAACAAAGAAAGCTGAATGGTCTTACAGAGAAATTTTGTCCTTAAAAAAGTCACAGTTTCTAATTAATGGACTAAAATCGAGAAAATGAATCGAACCGAAGATCTTTATTGGTGAGTTAAATACTTGCCTCCTGCCGCAATTACCATTTCCTCCTACAATAAAAAAATCCTAAATCAGCACTAAGGCATCAGGATCAAAATCAATGAGTATATCATAATTCCAAATGAGGAAAAATTACATCGGTGAAAAAAATAAATTCTGTTCTGCACAAGTCAGATATACTGCGCTTTGACGGGTTCGAATTCGGACATCTGATTGGTCGTTTAGTTGGCATCATCCTCCTCGGTAATCATACCTTGGTCTCTTCCTCTTTGCGTGTTTCAAATTGAGAGACCACATCAAATGTATGTACCTATCGTAATATTGATGAATCCAGGGTGGAAGAGGCCATGATCTGTACTACCGCGATGGATGACGCCACATGCCGGGTTTTTCAAAAGGCTCCGTTAAGTTTTCACAAGGACACTAGATGTTTAATCAAACCTTATTTTTTGCTGATGTACACGTTTAGACCGCATCAAAACGCGATTCTTTGACTAACGCCAGCAGACGTTTCAAAATTTCCGCCGCCATTTTATTTTTTTAAAAAGAAATTGTTCCTAGAAGTTGTCCAAATAGTTCACTGAATTTTCTTTGTGCTGCCGATAACATTCAGTGAAATTTTCAAAGAAATTCAACTGACAATTTTTCCAAAAAAAATAAAATGGCGGCGGAAACTTGGAAACGTCAAATGGCGCTTGTGATACTTTGGCCAGAAGGTGATGATATGCTTAAACCATCAAAACGCGAATCGCCGACTAACGCAACTGACCAGTTTTGCGTTTTTGTGGACTAAAATTGAATATACTACCTTTTCTGTACTATCCGCAGCCCAAGTACCAAACGCTACACGCTGCCAGTTCGTCCCATCTTCGCTGACGGAAATAGTGTGCCCAGTGATCAAACCATTGGTATTTTTATCTTGTCTGGGGAGCATAGCGAGTCCACTCACGATCTGGACAGCCTTCATGTCGATGGTGATCGTGTGGGGCAGAGGCGTCGATTTGGGTTGATACTCGCTGTGCCAGAAGGTGTTACGATCCCCATCGAGCACCTTAGCGCATTCGTTGCCCGCGTGGGCGCTGTCGCAAGTCACCGTCCAGCCGTTCCGGTTGAGCAGTGTCCCTTGCGGAGCCGCGTTCTTGAGGGGTGGTCCGTCATACTTCGATCCTTCGATACCCTCGCCTACGAACGCATCGTCCAGAGTCGTGGTTTTCGGGTAGGCTCCCGGAAGATACCCCGGTCCGGTGATAACCTCGCCTACCAACGGTAGGACCAGATCCGAGGATGTCTCATGGCAAGAAAGGCACTCAGGTTCGGTGACAACCACGGCTTCATGAGGCGTTCCATAGGATCCTCCGTAAAGGCTCAGCGAAAGGAGAACCAGAGTCAGCATCATTTTTTTGGCAGGGTCCGGTTCGGTTACAGGACCTGGCCCTCGTGTACCCTAAGAAATCAAATTGCGATGTGCTGGTTAACCTTGCGTACACTGAAAGGACTTATATGGATTGTATTTATATTTGTTTTTCGGACATGTCCTCTCCTTTAAGATAATTAGCCTGCTAGCGGTCCTCGTATGGCTACATTGTGATTGAGAAGGCTTTTAAATAGTATGACGGAAAGTACAAATGTTGCGCTTTGCGAGGAACTACTGGAGATAGTTATTTCTTAAACACTTCTTCTCTTCAGATAGTTCCCAAGGCTTACATCACCTTTCGGGGTGGGTGCGGTTCATCGGCGGATCCAGCAAATTGGCAACCTTGTCTTTTCTCCATTTAAACATATATGAATGTATCGATTCTTGGAGTGGTACAACCTTAAATTAGCAAAACCTGTGAAATACTTTCTTTCGTTGTTTGTATCTCTCGCGGTGACGAATCATTGTGTATCATTGAATAATGGTGTTATTTTGGAAGAAAAAAAGTTAAATTTTACTTGAGTTTCGTTGAAATTATTAATTAAATCGTGAGGCGCACTTAAACCTCCTTTCACCACAGGGTAAACTGAATAAGGTCTCACTAAAGAGAGGAAGCATACGAGAAACGACTTGCGAATTTGACTTAAAAAATGACCCGTAGCTACATTATTATTTTCATGATAACAATTATCATAGCCTCATCACTATTCATTTTTATGAGAGTTGCATTTTAAACACTGGACCACTAGACATATTTTATTATATAATTTTTTTTTGATAAATTTGATCTTTTCATAGTTAAATTTTAATTATTTTCTTACTTTATTTAATAAAAAATTTCAGTTTACAATCTAAAAATGTTTTATCATAAACATCTTTCACACTACAGCACATATCTTCTCATTTAAATTTTACGCAAGTTGAACATAGCGAAAACTTCCAAAATTCATTTATTATGGTGATAGAAAAACGCTCATCATTTACATTACAAACGGTACATTCAAAGTTCCTTTCCGCAAAAAAACCATAATCAACGTAATCAACCACGAAATCAACCTATACATCAGGCAAATAACTAGAGCTTGAGTTCACACACATTTCCTTTATTTTTCTGACACGAGGTATATTTCATCTTGTTAGAAAAAAGTCATTGCATACGCAAATGTGATGATCGTAAAATAAAACGAAATTAGTTTCATACTCGATTTGCTTCGAGTATAGACTCTGCCTTGGAAAATTAGTCTCTTGGATCCTGATTCCGGCAGACTCTTAATAAATTTACAAAAAAAATATTTTTGATTCAATCAGATTTTTGCTTGCATCAAAAGAAAATCCACCTATATTAAGAGGCTGGGCTCTTGTTTAAAGCAAATATCCGCTTGAATCAAGAATACATTTTTCTTTAAGAGTCTGAACTCTGAATCCAAAAGACTTTCTCCCGTTTTTTTTTTGAGTGAGCGGGAATTGTTAATCAACGCTGATAAAAACCGTTTTTTACCAACTTTAAAGTTGAATTTGGAAAGTTTTAATGTTTTTATCGTATTCCATATAAAAGTTCTCGTAAAAAAAGTCGGATGAAAACTTACTGTTAAAAGCTGCGAGCAGGTGCGTAAGGAATGTTGACGAACAAACCTGGATTCCTGAGCAACCTAAAGTAAAATTTAAAATTTGAATCCCATGAAAATTTTGAGAAGCACGTCGAGGCTATAACTGACCTCTCTAATCCGTCCGTCCTAGCAAATAGAAGAAGGAGGTCATACTGAATGGAGACAGATCGCGTGAAAAGTATGGATATTTATGTACTCGCGACACTCGAGTGTCCGAATTTTTTCCATCCACCTGTTCAAATAAACATTTATTTTTCGTGTGCGAAAGAGACGTCATGAAATACGCACCAACTTTGCGCCGTAAATCACAAAAAAATTAAAGAAAGAATGATATACCCTTGAGGCCTCCAAATATTGTCATACGTGTCTGCGCAGCTTAAGCTTGGTTATCATTTTAATTAGTTGTTGAAACGGCTGTGGCACATTATACTGTAAGCAAACGGCCATGGGTGAAAATAAATTGAAGAAAAGCCCCAACAGTTTTATAGGATGTTTTTTCATTTATATATTTGTTTGAGTGTGTTTTTTGTTATCTGTGCAACAATACGGCTTTCACCAGGGCCGGATTTACCTTCTTGCCGCCCATGGGCCGCCTGTATTTTGCCGCCCCATCTCATTCGTTTTGAAACATCCATAGAAACCATCAGGTGAACGTGTTGGAGGAGGATGTGTGCATACTCGCGTTTGGCACATTTTTTGTGAAAGCCCTGTCAACACTAGCAAAAGTTCATGGAACTTTGCTCGAAATTTAAGTTCCGTAGACCTATCTCTGTGTGGACGATGCCTTTCATTTATGAGAAAAGAACAAAAAAATTATGAATAAGAATAAGCATGAATGCATGTGATCTAATGATCTTAACTTCCGCCGCCGCGCCGCGCAGACTGCACTATGTTTGGCGCAATGCGTGAAGTATTCCGACAGTCTTGTAGGCGCTAAGCGTTTCACGCTGACCGCATTGTCTGGCGCAATGCGTGAAGTATTCATGTATTCTTGTAGGCGAGGTCCGTTTCACGCTGACTGCAGTGACCGCACTGTGTATGATGCAATGCGTGAAGTATTCGTGCAGTCTTGTAGGCGCTAATATGTGTTTCATGCTGACCGGTGCGCCGATAGGGCTTCTCCTTTCCATCTCAAGTTCTCGCCATCATTCCTCTCTGCGCCGTGCCGCTCCAGGCCAAATTGCGTGTTTGGTTTCTCTCTCAACTAGACTAATGAAAGGCGCTGTCTCTTGTATCGCCGAAAGACGAACAAATTAGAAATTACTATACTTTAACTCTCATGATACGAGAGGTTTTTCCGCATTTCCTCATTTGTGATTTTTTTTCTGGATCAGATTTTTTTCTTGATACCTACATTTGAAAAATTATAACATTTGACTGCCCCTTTTGCTGCCATGGGCAGCGGCCCATGTGGCCAACCCCTTAATCCGGCCCTGGCTTTTACACATGCCCATTCCTTAATTGTGATATTCAAAATTGATACTTAATTTATTATATATTTGTGGAAACAGCTCTATCAAAAATGTGGCAACATTTTCACGAGCGTGTTGTGTTATCCGTTTTGCGAAAAACTACCGCGTTGTGATATAATTAACAAAATTTGCATCAGCACAATATGTTGACCTATATTAGAAGACCCAACGCGTTCCAGAAAATTGCGAGGGCCTCTTCGAAAAATGCGGAGATCTAAAGCAATTTGCACCTGTACAAACAGAAAACCTTAAAATATTATGATAGTCAACAGAAAAAAAAACAAATGAGTAGAGAGATTGCGAGAGAGATTTGCGAGAACAAGAGAAGAGATTTATAGAACTCCACTGTCTTTAGGAATGTTTTTCGAACAGTTTGGCAAAAAATCGTCTAAAAATGTTAAACTAAACACGAGTTAAAAAGCATAAAAATCGTTAGTTCAAAAATATTTTTTTAGAGGAAACACTATTCACTTCTTGCATCGGCATTTCAAATAAGTAATAAATAACAGACACCTCGAGTTTAGGCTGAAAATGTACTGTAGGCAAGGCTGAGCGATAGATTTTCAACTGAGATGTGGAAAAATAAGTTGAGCCTCCCAAAACTGTTCCCGGCCTGGTGACCTCTTCTCTATCCCTTTTTTCAGCCCCGTGTAATAGGTGCAAGGAGCATATCACTTAAAAGATAAGAGAAAGAAAAGGAGGAGTCGGAGAGCGGAAGGGGGAAAATGAAATAAATGAATGACATAAAAACAACAGTTAAAAATTACTTGTTAAAAATATATTTGGAAACCTGGTCAGTAAAATTTAAAGTACATATAAATACTATTCTCAAAAATCCACTGTGAGTATGGATACTTACAAACCATAATAACTACCCTCAAATTCGAGGCACTTGCAACCTGAGCAGAAACCACCCTGCACGAAGTGAGATCTTGTGTGGTGCTTCTCTCCTGACTCCTGCAACAAAGTTTGGTCGAATAAACCGCAAAATTATCCTCTTTAATGACACTTAGCACACGGCCTACTGAATTGAGTGTTACAACTACTTTACCATTCCGCATTGCGCCGAGTCTCCGCCGCATGACAAGTGTGGCTGTGGCTCATCCCTCATTTTATCTGACCGGAAACCGCGACGCCGCCCGGAAACTGGACCGCGTTAACCGGAAATGACCTCCTAGCTGACAGCAGCTCGACCTCAAGAGGGTGCACAGTGCCATGCATTTTGAAAAATGCTTACTTATCACCTGAAAAAGCATAATAATTCTTCATTTTTTCTGCATGTTAAGTCAAATGTATAGTATGATTTAAGGATTTTTTAATTTTTTTGTTTTTCAAAAATTTTTATGCGTATTTTCTTGAGCCCTTGGCACTTAAAATGATGGTGCGTAAAATGGCAAAAGAAGTACAGTGATCTTATTTTAGGAAATCAAACCTGGCATTCTTTTCGGAAAAAGGGAAAGTAAAACATAAAAATTGACGCTAAAGTTTCAGTGCACTCCATTGTGCCGTTTACATGTTTCGTGAAACTTTAAAATCAGCAAAAAAATACTGCATTTCTTTAAAGTCAAATGAAGACAAGAAAAGTAATTAAGATTGCACATTAGTGCCAATGTTCACGGACTTGCAGCTTGCTTGGGGTAACGTTGAGTAAAGTACGATGTTTCCTTTCATTCGTTTTTTTCGAAATTGGTTTCCCTCACACTGTTCTTGAGAGTTTCATTAATTTGACAGTAGTCACAGAAGGAATTGACAAACAAAAGGAGAAACAAATGAATACAGTCAAAGAAAGGCCGAAGATTATTCACCCACCTTGTATAAAGTGACGGAGCCATAAAAACACCACTCTCACTTATTGAAAAGATTAAAAGCGTAATAGGTTTAAGGAGTCAAACAGAAAAAGTTCAAACCTGAAAACAAATTACCCCGCCGAGAAAAAGAGAAAGATCGTAAAAAAGTTAATTAATTGCAAAGAGATTATCAGCGAAAAGGCTGTAGGGGAGCAGGAAAAGGAGAAGTGGGATCTCAGGCTGCGAGCTATAGGAGGAGGGTGATTTGCGGTGAGGGAGGCCGCGGAAGTTAGTTGGCCAGAAGTGTATAAATGTCAAATCAAAATGAAACTAATAAAAAATAAAATAAATGATCACATCTTAACAAACTAGATTTTTTGTCCTTTTTTACTGAATAATTCGCAAGAGTGATCACGGGGGGAGACTCGCCTCCACCCTGCGCGCCATCCCGTTTTGGGATGCCAACACAGGCATCAAAAAAAAGAGAGAAAAAAGTTTCGGTGGAGAGTCAACGAATTCCGCTCGGAGTTGCTAATTCGGATCGAAAATCACCTGATTTTACTTCCCTCTCGACACTGTTCCGTGTCACGAATTGTCATCACCGCTGACGGTCTCGCCCCGATGAAAAGAAACAATGACAGATTAAATTTTTTAATGACACGGTTTTCCTCCCCTTTTGTCTGGCCAACATTGTCGATCATTCCGTTTTTTTTTTTCTTCTTCCTCTTTTCATTTAATTCTTTTACGCCCTGGCGAGACACCCTTGCGGCGAGAGCGAGCAACAAGCAACACCGTTGTCGCCCTTCCCTCCCTTCGCGACAATCCGCCTAATTTTTTAATTCCCATTAGTCTGGCTCTGATCCCGACTTCCCGGTTTCGATTCGCCTTCGTTGTTGAAAATGCACGCGCTCCTGAACTCAGTGGTGAAGGACACAGTAGCTACTTTTTCTGACCCTAGTCGAGTTCAGGGGGAGGAGGCGTGGGGGGCTATTCAAAAAAAAATCAAAATTGTAAAGCATTTAATAAGCAGCTTGAGTCAATTTTGTCATGAATAATTACCAACTGTAAGCATCCTCCCTTCTTCTTTCCCTCGTCCCTTAATTCTTTCTTTCTTCCTTCCTTTTTTCTTCTTCTTTTTTTTTTCAAGCGACCGGGGGAGGCGTGTGCCCCCGGGGGGCACACGCCTTGACGCTGTCGAATAAACATTCCAGCAGCTTGATCATTTACTTCGCTAGATACGGGTGATGGATACGGCGTATCCATCTATTGGTGATCTACCGCTCGATAAGTTGGCGACCATTTACCTCGTATCTAGACCACTAGATGAGCTCTAGATGGATAAATGTATCTAGAGGTACGATGGATACGGATAGCGGTGTTTCGCGATCTAACTGAAAATAATTTTTTCTTTTCAACCAATCACAGCTCATCCTTCCATCTCTGAAGAAGAAGAAGTGACTTTGCGCGTTGCTTTGCGCGCGTGAATGTGAACACCATAACCTCAAACGTACGGAAAATTAGGCCCACGATTTTCTAACGAGCGCGATTTCCGTAGTTTATCGTGGTTTTCGCGGGAAATACAAAAATATATCGTATTATTTCAATTCTTACTTTATTAATTTATTTCTTTTTAAAATGAAATTTCATAATTGTATTTTGAGGTTATATTTCACCTAATTCAATAATTTTGACTTATAAACGTGAAAAACAAATTAATTTATTCTTTAAATGTATTATTTTAAGTTTTTTTCTTTTTTTCAAATAATTATCAAAGTGTAATATTTATCCGGTTTGCGAGTATGTTCGTAATGAAATTAATACTCGTGCCAGTAAAAAGATTAACTTGAACTTAATGCAGCAGAAACAACCAGTTTTACA